GTGTTGCGATGCGTTGTGCCACGGTGCTCTGGGAAGGTCGTCGTGTGATATCCGACCCCGAATCAAACCTCCAGGTTGGTTTAGGAGGTCGCCGCGGCGATCGCGGCGGCCACAAATCGGGCCAAGGTTTTCGCCCAGGAGTGTCATACCCCTTCCCAGCCCCCACCCCAGTGTTAACCAGGCAGCGAAAGAGCGTTGCCAATCCATGTCCAAATTGGACAGTCATGCTTTCCTGGTTCGAGGAGGTCGAGCATCACGTAACCAGGCGGGGCGGTTGCCTACGCGTGCTCCAGGCATGGTGCGGTCGCGCCTCGGCGGCTTCCGCTCTCGCCTGGTCGACGGGCCGAGCGTTGCCGGCCGCGTCCCGGGCGCGGCAGCGCTGCTCGTCGACATGCGCGGGCCAGTTCTCTGGCTGGGCCCGTGGCAGCGGGCAACGGCAACGTGGCACTCCTGAGATGGCCGCACGAGCATGTGTTTGGCTTCCTCCCGCGGGTGGACGCCTCGACCACTGCCCGAGGATCGCAGGAGTGGCAGACTGCCACGCCCGTGGGCCGAGTTGCAAGCGCTGGCTCTCCATATCCCCGTTGCTTGGGCTGTTCCAGTCCCGGCGCGCGCTCGCTCTCTCCCTCTCTCCCTCTCGCTCTCTCTCTCTCTCTCTCTCACTCTGTATCGATCTATACATATCTGTACACATAGATATGTGTGTCCCTGTGTTTCTCTCTCTCTATCTCTTTCCTCTTCTCTTTCTCTCTCTCTCTCTCTGCTTCACTCTCTCTCTCTCTCTCTGGCTCTCTTCTCTCTTTTTTATGTTATCTCTCCCTCTATCCTCTCTGCCTCTCTATGTCTCACTCTCTCTCTCTCTCTCTCTCTCTTTGCTTTTTTGTTTTCTCTCTCTCTATCTCTCTCTCTCTCCGTACCCGAGCGCCTCAGTGAAGGGCTTGCTCGCTCTCTCTCGCTCTCTCTCTCTCTCTCTCTCTCTCTCTCTTTCTCTCTTTAACACGCTCGCAGGTGCCCGACTCGATCTTCGACCGCAGCTGGGGCGCCCCGCACCGCGAGCGAGCATCTCGCCGGCCATGCTTTCCTCGCCCTCTCGGCTCTCGGCTGCTCGCTCGTCCTCCTCTGCCCCCCTCCTGCGTCCGATGCTTCGATGCCCCCTTCTTGCGGCGGTCGTCGTCGTCGTGTTTGTCGTCGCCGTCGTTGTTGTCGTCGTCGTCGCCGTGGTCGTCGTCGACGTGGTCGTCGTCGACGTGGTCGTCCTCGTCGTCGTCGCCCTCGGCGCGGGCTGGTGCCCCCCTCGATACTGCCTGCCTCGAGGCTTCCTCCGCCCCCCTTCTGCACACCTCGCCTGCCTGTGGAGAGCTCCGAGCCCCTGATGTGCCTGTGGCCGGAGTCGCATCTGGGCCCATCCCTTGCTGCTGGCGCGCCCCCCCTGCGCGGTGTTTGGCCAGGGTTCGGTGCCGCCCATCTCGTCGTCTCCCCAATCATCGCATCCCAGCTCCTTCTGCTTATACCCCTCCTCCTCCTCCTCCTGCTTCTCCTCCTCCTCCTCCTCCTCCTCCTCCTCCTCCTCTTCCTCCTTCTCCTCCTCCCCTCCCCTCCTCCTCCTCCTCCTCCTCCTCCTCCTCCTCCTCCTCTCTCCTCCTCCTCCTCCTCCTCCTCCTCCTCCTCCTCCTCTCCTCCCTCCTCCTCCTCCTCCTCCTCCTCCTCCTCTCCTCCTCCTTCCTCCTCCTCCTCCCCCTCCTCCTCCTCCTCCCCCTCCTCCTCCTCCTCCCCCTCCTCCTCCTCCTCCTCCTCTTCTCCTCCTCCTCTCCTCCTCCTCCTCCTCCTCCTCCTCCTCCTCCTCCTCCTCCTCCTCCTCCTCCCCCCTCCCCCCTTCTCCTCCTCCCCCTCCTCCACCTCCTCTTCCTCCTCCTCCTCCTCCTAGCTCCTCCTCGTCGTTCTTCCTCTCCCGTCCTGCCCAGACACCCCGCCCTCATGGGATGACAGTGGCAGCAGGCGTGCAGGCGCCCATGACTGTGGGACCGCGCACCGCAGAGCAGCCACCACCACACGGGGAAGACTGGCACGGAGACGGCCGAGCGCGCGCCAGCGCCGGCGGAGCGCGAGCACCAGGGCCATGGGCGCCTCGGCCGCTTGCGGCGCGGCGGGGGCGGGGGCGAGCGGCAGGGCGGGGGGCAGGATCAGGGCGAAGGGCCATCGGGACCGTGTGCGGTCTCAGGCGATCGCAGGCATGGATCAAGGGGGCGTGGATCAGCGACGGGTCCCGTTTCCATGGGAAGTTGCGGATTTCCGCCGCCGAGCGAGGCCAGCCCTCCCAGGAGCCCACGAAAGCGGCGACAGTTGTGCCGTTCCCAGCCCCGCAGGGACGGCGAGGTCTAGCTCTGATGCGCGTGGGGCACCACTCCGCTGAACCGCCCAGGAGCCCACGGCAGTGGGGACAGCTGTGCGGTCTGCAGCCCCGCGGGGATGGCGAGGTTTAGGAGGGCGAGGTCGAGTTCCGGTTCGTAAGACACCACTCCGCTGGACCTCCCAGAAGCCCACGACAGCGGCGACAGCTTCGTGCGCTGCCAGCCCCCAGGAGGGAAGATGCGGGGAGGAGGAGGGAGAGGGAGAGAGGAGAGAGGAGGAGGAAAGAGGAGGAGGAGGAGGAGGAGGAGGAGGAGGAGAAGAAGAAGAAGAAGAGGAGGGGGGAGGAGAGGAGTGAGCGATGGAGACCACGGTGCTCCTCTCAAGACGGGGACCCAGCGCAGGAGGGCTGGGAAAACAAGCAGGCCCTCGCCCAGCCCTTCTGCCCGTCGCTCGCGGGCCCCAGCCTTTGCCCTGACGTGGGGCCCTCTGGGGGTTCTCTTTGGCTACCCGCGCCCTCTCGGATCCGAGAGGCCCAGGGCACTCATCCATATCATCAAAAATCACATCGCAAATCCTTACCCATCCGTCGTTGAAAGTAGGTGTTTCTGGATTCCCATATATCTTCTTTCAGCGCCTCCCTACTTCAAGGATCGAGTGGCTTCACCTTTTCCGTCCGCTTTAGGGGGCGGGCGTACACCCAATCTCTTCTCAACGCCTTCCCATGCCGTGTTTCTACGTACTTCTTCCGACCGGTGGGCATTATCAAACACATAGGAAATCCTCAGGTGTGTAAGCGGTTGTGGCCTTCCTGGAGGGCCTCTCGGCCTCCCTCCTGCTGTGCAGGGAGCCTCTTGGGATCGTGTGGTCTTCCCGGGGGCTGCTGGGGCGCCTTCGCAGCATGGCAATGCTGGGCCACCGTGGCGGCCTCCGTGGCCTCCCTGCGCTGCCTTGGGGGCCTTGAGGAGCCGGGGAGAGCCCCAGGGGCGACGCCTGGGCGACCAACAAGCTGGGAGAGGGGGGAGGGAGCATGCGGCTGAACGTGGCGCGAGGGGGTTGGGGCCTTCAAGACTTTCAGGGGCCCTGCAATCGAAGGAGAAAAGGCTGCATAAACACGAACTTTCGAAGATCTGCGCGCGGAGCGCGCCAGGGGCGGCGCCCGAGGCGCCGCCAGGGGGGGTCCAGCGCCGACCCAAGAAATCAGCCCGGACCGTCGAAAGTTGATGTGCGTGTCGTTATTCTTTCTCTATACCACAGACAGCACCTGTTATCCTACCGCGCCTCATCATGCCGGGGGGCACCGTGGCGAACAGTGCGTGACCGCCCAGAGCTCATAGCAGCTCCCAGAGCTCATGAGCCCAGAGCTGCTGAACGACTCGTGCAGCCGTGCGTCTTCGCCGCCGCGGCCAGGGCTGCCGGGCCGCGACCCCAGTGTGTACACGGACACGCGACGCCGCCGCTCGGCGCGAGCACGCCTCGCGCCAAGCTCGTCCACGGGATCGCGAGTCCGTAGGATCGCGTCCGAGCGCCTGGGCCGCGAGGACACGGACTAGGCATCGCTCGGACGTGTGCATTTTTCCTTCGGCGAGGACCATCGAGGAGCATCCTTGATCATTTGACGAAAAAACCACGCACGAAACCGAAAAAAACACAGGGAATGGACGTCCGAGCGATAACCAGCGGACCTGGGATGCGGCTGCGCTCGTCCCTCGCGGGCTGAGCCTGTGGACCCGTGGCCGAGCTGAGGTGTCTACGGGGGCCCCCATCAGAGCCCGAGGGACCCCCCCGCAGGCACCTACGCCGAGCCCCTGAGGAACGCGGCGCCGCTGGGCTTCCCTGCGAGCCTGCACCCCACCTCGGTGAACCAGCTCAGCACACGGGTGACGGTCCGCCTGCGCCCGCTCCCGCGGGGCGCGGAGTGCAGACCAGGGGGAGGCGGGAACGCGGGGCCGTTTGGGAGCGATCCGGGAAGAAGAGCCCGTCCTGGCGAGAGCCCCGAGATGCCCAGGACGACACCGACGACGACGACGCCGACGACGACAACGACGACGACGACGCCGACGCCGACGCCGACGCCGACGCCGCCGACGACGACGACGCTGAGGCGAGCCGACGCGAGCCAACGACACCCGGAGAGGAGGCGGAGCGGGGGGGGAGGGGGGGGCAGGCCTGGCGTAGGGGTGACATACCGCCTCGCGCACCTGTACCCCGCAGGCCCGTCGATCTCAGGGTCCCCCCGGGCAATGGTAGGGGAGTTGCTCATCCTTCTGCGGACCGAAGCCCGATTCACGCTCAAACACACACCCCCAGAGTGTGTTCCCATCTGTTTCTTCCGACCGACGTGCACACCTACGCCGTGCCCCTGCCCCTTCACCCCAAAGGCATGGAGGCTGAGATGCGCAACCGTGCCGCCCGGCTGGCACCTCCAAGCCGGGTGAGAGTCACTGTGAGGCGTGGCCGTTGCGCAGGGCAGCTGGCAGGCGATCGGCGGGGAATGGCTATATCTCCTCAGCGGCAAGAGCAGAATGGATGATGAGGGGCGAGGACGGTGGAGGGGGGAGGAGGAGGAGGAGGAGGAGGAGGAGGAGGAGGAGGAGGAGGAGGAGGAGGAGGAGGAGGAGGAGGAGGAGGAGGGAGGAGGAGGAGGAGAGGAGGAGGAAGAGGATGAGGGGGAGGGGGAGGGAAGAGGAGGGAGGGGAAAGATGATGCAGACGAGGATGGGGGATGGAGGAGGAGGGGGAGGAGGGCAATGCGGAAGGGGGAAGGAGAGAATGGTGGAAAGGAAGAGCAGGAGGAGGGTAATGTGGAAGAGCAGGAGGAGGAGGTGAATGGCAGGGTGAGTCATAGCAACAGGAAATGTTAAGAATATGATGTCGATGATGGTGCTGATTCTGATGGTGCTGAGCCCTCGGACGGGGGTCGGTGATCTGAGACGACGATGCTGGCGATGATGGTGGCAACGAGAAGGAGCGGAGAGGAGGAGGAGGTGTTGAAGGAGGAGTAGGATCCTGCTGATGAGGAGGAGCGGGAGGAATCAGCAGGCGAGAGCTTCAGGGAGCCTTGCCCCAGCGGATTGGCGCCGAGCACCCACCCGGTCCGAGGCATTCGCGCGAGCCTCGCCCCGCCGGTCGCACACGCGCGATGACACAGATCTGCGCGGCGGTGGCGCTCGGGCTCGCGCGCGCGCGTGCCCTGTCCGACCTCCCCACTGGCTGTTTGCGCCCTTCCCTTCTTCTGTTAGGGGGCCACATGCGAACCCTGCCCCTACTTCCCACGATTTCTAAGGGGGAGGGTGGAGTCCACCCGAGAACAGTGAGCCCCACCCTCCCCCTCAGAAATCGTGGGGGGTAGAGGCAGGGTTCGCATGTGGCCCCCTTATCCGTCCTCTCTGTGATCGTGTTCTCTTTCATTGGTTTTGCATGTCGGCGTGGGCCCTCGCCCCCCCCCCCCCCCTTCCTCCTCCCCCACCCCCGTGGAGTGGATCCTGGGCGCTCCCCCACGGGACGCATTGCTGGCAAGCGGTCGCCTCAAGCAGAGGTCTGGAGCCAGTTCCCCCCCCCTCCCCCCCCCCTTTCCGCCCAATGTCAAGCAGTGGCGAAGCGTCCTGGCTCGCCTATAGGCCTACCAAAGAATGTTCTAAGAACCTTGTGTGGTTTCCACGAAATGTTATTAGAACATGTTTTTCTGAGACGGTTTTGTTTTAGCACCTCAGTCGTACGTTCTAAGAACACTGCTTCTGTTCCAAGAACATATCTGGGTTCTAAGAACATGTCGTGGTAGGCCTGTAGGAATGCTGGGACGGTCGGTCCCTGCTCAACAATGTCGAAACGCCAAATAAGAAATTGACAAAGATGTCGCCGAAGACGACGTCGTCGCCGTGTTCGTGGTCGTCGTCCGTTCTCCGTGCGCGTCGTCCACATCGCCGTCATCCCGTCGACGTCCTGCTCCCGCCACGAGACTGCTTTCTCTTCCGGCGAGCCGCAGAGCGCATCGCGCGGAAGGTGCGGGTCGCGAGAGCGCACGCGCTTCGTCGTGACAGGGAGCCCCTCCTGACCGCTGGGCTGCCGCACCCCCGGCGGGGTGAGCCCCGCAGAGTGCGATAAGGACAAGGGTCTAGGCCTCCCAGATGGAGTCCGAGAAGATGAGGTCGGAGGATCGCGCCGCATCGCCGATGCATCGACGATGCATCGACGATGCGGCTCGATATGGAGCCCGTGTTTCCCCACGCCGTCGTCGCCGATGCATCGCCGACGTCGCCGATGCATCGGCGATGCACTGGCGATGAGGCTCGATCCTTCGACCCCATCTACTCGGACCCCCTCTAGGAGGCCTGTAAAGGAAGGCTGCGGCACGTTCGCGCTGCCTCGGCGCGGCAGCGCTGGCGCCGGGCTCCGAGGCCGAACCACCTCTGGGGCCCGCCCCGGTTTCCGCGGCCCACGGGAGACAGCGCACGGCCCCACGGCGCGAAGAGGGCCGACAGCATCTGGGGCCGAGGGCGCAGGGCTCCCGCGGCGTCGGACACCGTGGCCTACCACGTCAAGGCAGGAGCCTGTCGTGAGCCCCCCCCTCCCAGGGTCCCTTTCGATCCGATCGATCCGGTTCGATGTCGGCTCTGACCGGCCCGCTTCGATCCAAGTCCGACCTTGGGGCGATCCAGTGCGGCCCGAGCCCTGCACTGCGCCGTTCTGTATCCTGGCGCCGCCGGTTCGATTCGCTTCCGACGTCGACCTGAGGCGGCCCGATGCGATACACGTTTCGACCCAGTCCGATGTCCCGATTCGATGCCGACGGTTCCTGCCCCCCTCGTCCTCGATGTCGTGGATCAGTCGCGATGGTACTGTGCCCGGCCGGCGGGTGCGGCAAGACACCAGATGTCGTTTCGGAGGAGTCTCATGCTCCGCCTCTTCGGGGCATTCCAGCCCTGTCTTGCCGCGCCGTCGTGGCGTTCCGCGCATCCTCCTCAGGTCTATCCCATCGAGACCAGCTTGGACGACGACAGCCTCAGCTCGATCCGGATCACCGCGCCTGTGGGCTATGAGTGGCCCGTGCGCGCTGCCCGGGGTGGAGTAGGATGAGCAGCGGCAGGAGAGAGGGGCAAGGGGAAGGAGGTGGGAAGGCCGGGTCGGAAAGAGGGGGGAAGGGGGAAGAGAAGGGATGAGAGGAGAGGAGGGGGGATGGGGAGGGGGGAGGGCAAGCTAGGTGCACTCGCGTCATATCTGACGTCCTACCCCTCCCTCCAATCCCGTACCATGGCGTAGATATCCTTTCTATTCGCACAGCCGGATGTCGACCAGGGCAATGAGTCCGAGAGGGTGCGCGATGCATCGTAGAGCACGGCATGGAAGGGCGTAGAAGAGCACGGCAGAGTATGTCATAGCATGACGTGGCGTTGCGTAGTGAAGAATTGCATCACAAAGCATTGCAACGCAAATAATGGCATCGCACAGCGGCACAGAGCAGAACACGGCATAGCATGGCGTTGAAGATCAAAGCGTAGCATGGCATAGCATGACGTGGCACTGCGTAGTCAAGCACTGTATGTCCTAGCAGTGCATCTGAAGGCATGGCATCGCACAGCAGAACACCACATAGCATTATACTGTATGCCGTGACATGGCACTGGAAACAATGACGCCAGCGCTGCAGCGGGAGCACGATTCGGAACGAGCGGAATTGCGGAAATGAGGGCAGCGCTTCAGCGGGAGCACGATTCGGAACGAGCGGAAGCGCGGAAATGAGGCCAGCGCTGCAGCGGGAGCACCATTCGGAACGAGGGGAAGCCCGAAAATGAGGACAGCGCTTCAGCGGACGCAGCATTTTTGACAAAATCCCAAGCGAAAACCCAACTCCCAGGAATCCTGTGTATACACAAGAAGTACGCGGAGGGGGGCCGAACATCTTCCGGAAGTCGTCAGGGGAGAGAGGAGAGTATAGTATTCATATTGTTAAGTTGTGTAGGGGGAGGGGGAGGGGGAGGAGTTACGGGCTGGCTTACAGATTGCACGTGGTTTCACGTGGCAGAAAATATCCTCCCTTGTGGCACCTGCTTGCGAGAAAGCACTACGCCCAATGGACACGATCTAAACTCATTTTGAACACACCCCTTTCGAGCACATTGTTTCGCACAGTGAACTCGACGCTCGCTGCTTGACACCTCTCCGGTCTAGGGCTCTAGGGCGAAAGGCCAGTCACCATTAAGAGAACCGTGGGACAGAGCCCGTCCCGGGAAAAAACAGCAGGGCATCGCGACAGGGATACGGGATCGGAGCATGCCGCAGCCAAGACAGCGACGCATACGCTTCAAGAACAACGCGTCGTCCTGAGAAGCTCGACACTCTTTGCTGCATTATGGGTCCTCACAGATGGCCAGGCCTTCATGGCAGTCAGGCGTCAGGACTCCTGCGCATTGGGGGCACCCCCCAAGTCTGTGCAGAACCGAGGCACGGCACTACCCTTTAATTCAAAGTGTTCCACACATGCGGTGACCTTGGCCGCAGCATCAACTATGCTCCTTACGCCCCTTTCCACAGCAGCGCTCAGGGCAAGCCTGAGCAGCAGCCCAGAAGGAGAGGATAGAGAAGTTGAGTTGGCTTTCAGGGCCCTCGCGTCAGCAAAAACAAATGGGGAGCAGACCAGTTGATTATGTAGTGTGTGTGTGTGTGTGTTCTCTCGCCGCATGAAGCATACAGTCCTTGACAGCCTGGTCATGCACCAGCGCGTGGTAACTGCGCAAGCCCGTCGGAGGTGCCCAATCGCTTCAGAGTCCCCTAGGCCTAGTGAGCGTCGCAAGCGCGCCTCTCGAGGCAAAGGCCATCTCGTGACCCCATGAGGTTGATGGAGGAAGGTCCAAAGGGTTCGGGGAGACCAGGGAGACGCACAACTGATTTCAGGAATACCTGTATACCAAAACCCACCCGAAACAAGCTCGACGGGTAATTAGGTCTTGGCCGCAGCCGTGCCACACACAATCCGGGCAGCGACTTCGCCCTGGATGCGGTCTGGCTGTACGGTTGCAGAGAGAGGGAGAGAGAGAGAGAGAGAGAGCCACCTCCCATGGCTGCCAGCCTCTGACCCGTGGATCACGCCTGAACAACGCAGAGCAACACAGTAAGCTCATCCTACAACCTCCTCCATCCTCCGCCGCCGCCGCCTCCTCCTCCTCCTCCTCCTCCTCCTCTGTCAACCCTCTGCGCCCCCTGCTCTTATTCTTCTTTGCCCCTCCTCCTGCCCCTGTTCCTCATTGTACATCCTGCTGTTATTCCCTTCTTGTTCTCCTCCATCCTTACTGCCCCTTCGCATCATTATGCTCCGGGCCCTCCGTTTCCCTCATTCATGCTATTGGTCCTGTTCTTAGCCAGCTACCCTCCTCATCATTAATGCTGGATGCCTCTTCAGTCCGTGTCATCCACTTGCTCTTCCTTTTCCACCGCGATTTGGGTCCAAGACACGGGAGCACACGCTCTATATGTATCACTTGGCTTCGAGTCGAGTCCACATGTGTCATCCTCACCAGACAAGACCTTACACACATAAGTTGCAGGCTCGATATGGGGCTTTATCATGGAATGACGATCACAATGCTGGCGCTTTCGTGCGCTCGCAGAGCGGGTGCTGACTTGCAGCTCTTGCAGTTGCCTGTACGAAGTCCAGTCAGTGGTGGTTCTGCGCCGGCACCCCTTCCTGCGTCAGATGATTGCCTCACTCCCATCGAGGGCGACGGCTGTTACGAGGAGGTGTTGTATGCGATGCAGACAGGCGTGGTGGAGCACCCAGACTGGTACGGGAGTTTGACCCAGAAGTCCAGTTTTGATGACTTCCAGCGGCTTTTGCACAGCGTCTCCAAGGTGTGCCCAGAGCCCTGTTCGGCTCAGGCGCCGAGCACCCTGGCGCCAGCACGTGAGCCTGAATTTGCATCGATGCAGGACCCTGTCTGTGAAAAGAGTTCGGGGGGGTGTTTGCGACGGTGGTCAGTATTGTCCTGAAGATGTCTGTGATATTAGTGGTCTCTATCACACACATGTATGCATGTATATATATATACACACATATACACGTACGCATGCGCGTGTCACCATGTGGGGGGCTCCAGGAAGAGCCTCCTCTCCGAGGATCGAAGGAGTTGGCGTCTCTTCCTCTGCGGAAGACGGTGGAAGAGCGCCGGAAGTTTGCGGAAGCAAGTCAAGGGCGCATCCGCCTGCGGAAATCAGACGGATGGCCGGAGTAGGCCAGCGAAAGTACAGAACGCGCCCCCAAGACATGTTTTTTTTATTTTCAGGGCTTCTAGTTGCACTGTCACGGTTCATGGTTCCAGCAAGTGTTTTCTCATTCCGACGGTATGCTCTGCTATATAGGCAGTCTGGTTTGTGCGTTTTCTGTCCCAGCCTGTTTTTCTATAACGCCTAGCACTGGCCAGGCTTGTGCTTCCTTGCGCACGCTATGCGCTCCATCCGTATGAGCCGTTCACGTATACTTGCTAAGGGTAGGCGGGTCCCTGCCGCATGCGACGGTAAATAATGCGAGCTGTAACAGAATGTCCAGACTCATGGATTCGGCTCGACCCAGATTCGGAGGCCCCCGTTTTGTGAAAGGCAGCATGTAGAGAGTCTGATGATCATCACGTCGGGCCTGTGCCTCTTCAGGAGGAGTATTCGTAAATAGTCAAAAAGTAGTATGGGGACTATTTTTGGACTCTTTTTGCGCATTTCGGGGGTATTTAAAAAATCTTTTTAATTTTTCGTCCAAAATCCCCCTACAGGGGGACAGGGCCGGTTTTTCATTGTTTCCCAAAAATGTTCCTTGAAAATGGAAACGGCAAAAAAACGGCGACCGGAAACGGCAAAAAAACGGCTCCAGGATTGGACCCGGAGCCGGAACCGGTCAAAAAACGGCGACAGGACCGGTAAACAAACGGCGTCGGAACCGGTAACAAAAACGGCAAAACGGAACCGGTAAAAAAACGGCCCTGCCGCTTCCAGGGCCCATTAGGGGCAGGGGCAGGGTTCGCATGCGGCCCCCTGAGCCAACGCACGACGTGCGCCCACGAGTCGTCGCCGGGCGGGGTGCCTTTGCGCTCGGGAGCGCCCGAACGAAGTGAGCCCCACCCTCCCCCTCAGAAATCGTGCGGGGGTAGGGTCCGCGACTCGTGGTGTCTCCGGGTGGCCGCCCAGCGGCCGCCCAGTGGCGCCCCGTGGCTGCCCCGCGCGCGGGCTGCCGCTCTTGGCGGAATTCTCGCTCCGCGGCCGCCCGGGGTGGCGACCCGTGGGCGCACGTCGTGCGCTGGCTTCGGGGGCCGCGTGCGAACCCTACCCCCGCACGATTTCTGAGGGGGAGGGTGGGGCTCACTTCGTTCGGGCGCTCCCGAGCGCAGTGCACCCCGCCCGGCGGCGACCCGTGGGCGCACGTCGTGCGTTGGCTCAGGGGGCCGCATGCGGACCCTGCCCCTGCCCTTAGTGGGCCCTGGAAACGGCAGAGCCGTTTTTGTACCGGTTCCGTTTTGCCGTTTTTTTGCCGGTTCCGACGCCGTTGTTTGACCCGTTCCGTCGCCGTTTTTTGACCGGCTCCGGGTCCAATCCTGGAGCTGTTTTTTTGCCGTTTCAAGTCGCCGTTTTTTTTGCCGTTTCCATTTTCAAGGGATATTTTTTCGGAGACGGTGAAAAACGGCCCTGCCGTTTCCGGGGCCCACAAAGCCCCTGCCCCCCACGATCTCTGAGGGGGAGCGTGGGGCTCACTTCGTTCGGGCGCTCCCGAGCGCAGGGAACCCCGCCCTCCCCCTCAGAACTCGTGGGGGGCAGGGGCAGGGTCCGCATATGCGGCCCCCCTATATGGTCGTTGTCTGCACGTCTTCGCCCGGTGGCCAGATGTTGGGCGCTGCGGTGGGTGCCTCCTGCGTCTGCTGCCGTTGCTGGGCCGTCGCCGGGCGAGCGCCCGTGGCCGCCTCGTGGGCACCTCGCGCGCCCACCGGCGTCTCCGGCTTGTCGCACGGCAGAGATGCCCCGTGCGCGCTCATGTGCGCCGGCAGGGGCTTCGGGGTTGTCGCCCGGCGGCCGCCCCCGCGGCGGCCTCGCGTGGGCTGCTCGTGGGCGCCTGGCGCGCTGGTGGCACCACGCAGTCTTCGCCACACTCGGTGGGCACATGGGAATCGCAGGCCTAGAGGTTGACACCAACACCAATTTCGGCGGCGTGCCTCCACCGAGGGAAGAAGATCCCGATCTCGGTGATGGTGGTAATATTCTGGCTTCCACCAACACCGAAATCTAGGATCATCTTTCCCCTGTGGAGGCATACCCCTGTGTTCGTGTTGGTGCCCATTTCCAGGCCTCCAAGGGAACCCTACCCCTCCCCCGCCCCCCCTTAGAAGTCGTGGGGGCGGGGGTCGGGTTCGCATGCGGCCACCTGCACACAGCTTGCACCACACAGGTTGCACCTCACAGCTGTTTGAATCACAGCGCGCTACATGGCTTCCGCCACATACGCTGCACCTCACAGGCTCACCTTCAACAGAATAGCAGACTCTTCCACCCTTTCGAGCCCGAACTTATCCACATCCCGCTCTGTATAGCAATTTGCACACCTTTGCATGTATTTGCTATTCACACATACGTGATTATGTGCCTCAACTCTCATACTATGTCAGCCCAGCCGGTATGGGCCCCCTCGGTCATCCCTGTCCAAAAAACGATGCGAGCGCATTCGTTACATCAGCAGATCATGACTCAATAACCCCTCACAGCAATTTCCAAGAAGTCCGCACGCGCGCACATGTCGACATCTTACTCAACACGTTCGTGTTGCTTGCATTGTAGCGTGGAAGACCTGGCCTCCCATCACGCAGACTGCAGATGTTCTCCCCGCGCGCAACGGCTGAAAAAGCATACGAGAACCGCAGGGTTGAGCAGTCTCGTGCAGAACTGGCTTTCTCATCCCACCGCGCGGTGCACCCGCATTGATCAAGCACGTGCCCAGTGCACGCCTCCGCATCAAATAAGACCATGCGGGGGGCCACAGGCGCTCGCCGCCACGCGCGCGCGTCGAACCCCGTCCACTTCAGGATGGAGCCCCTCAAACGCAACTGAAAACCAATAGTTCTTCAACACAAAGCCTGCCAGGTTTATTGAATGCGTGCTCGCGCACACTTCCCGAGAACCCTCATCAGCTCATCGGCGCCATCGCATCACCGCCATCGCCGTCATCGAACATCGCCGCCACTGTTGCCATCGTCTCCACGACCTAGTAATCACCAGCGCATGGACATCATCATCGTCATCGTCGTCACCAGCATCGACGCCGTCACTGGCCTTGCCGTCGTCATCGCCATCATCGCTATGTCTTTTGCTGTATTCATCATCGTTGCCGCTGTTGCCGACGTCATCATGATAGTGCGCCAGCCCAAATCAACGACCCGCCCTGAAGCGTCCACGCGCCAGCGCGACCTTATGAGACGTGATGGAGAGTCCCTACCGGTAAGCTCCATTGCTGCTACACCCGATGTGCCAAACTAGTTGGTCGATCTGCGCGGCAGCGTGCGCGCGCGCCAGCGCGGCCGCAGAGACGCGCGAGCAAGTTCCAATCGGCAGCCGCAATCGTGGTCGAATGGGTTATGCCAAACAGGTTGCGGGCGGGAGGGGCAAGATTTCGAATCTACCCCCGCTTTCCCCGGGATGTCCGTTCAAGTTGTGGATTTGCCATTTACATATGATTTTGCCCCATCGTTCATTCTAAATCTGAACTCGCACCATACCAGCCAGGCCGGTATCGATCCCCCCCTCGTTAATACCATGCACCCGCACTCACGTGTTAACGCGTACGGGAAGAATTGCGTGCGCGCGCGCCGCCTTGCGCGCGCATGCCGAAATCCCTCGGGAACTATATGTTTGATTGCGCCAACATCGCAGAGCGGAGTTCGTTCGGAAAACGATAGGATGGGCCCGGGGTGTCGAGGAGAGTTTCGTTCCGGATTTCGAAGTGCATTTCGTTCGGATTTTTTTGGCCAGGAACGAAGACCTTATTTCACGCGGAATTCACGTCTTTTTTCACTCGCCGCTTCGGGGTTCTGCATTGGGAGAAATCCACGCAAAAATCCGCTGCAGCACGTCTGCAAGGTCGGTACAGTGATATGTTTCGTAAGGATGTCGAGATCGAGCGTTCCGAAATATAGCAAAAGAGAAACCCACTCATTGGTGTTACAACATGGTTATACAAAACAGGGTGCGCGCTTTTGCACAGTATGAAGGCAACCCGAACATTCTCAGCATGCTCATCCGATGCGACCGGACGGGCCTCTCGCGAGCATGTCGAAATCATTCGAACGCACTTGCGCGCGTGCTGGCGGGGCACGGCCCCTCTCAAATAATACCATGCGGGCCATTCGCGCGCGTCGGCCGCGCGCGCATGTCGAAATCCTTCCAGGACCTTCACCACCGACACGTGGACACCATCATCGTCATTGGCGTGATCAGCATCGGCGCCGTCATTGGCCTTCCCGTCGTTATTGTCACCATGGTCACGAGCATCGGTACTATCATCATCGTTGTGTTGCCGTTGTCGGCGTCGCCTTGATACAGCGCCCGCCCAGGCCACCGACTCGCACTGAAGTGGCCGCGCGTCAGCGCGGCTTGCGAGACCAGCGACCAGCGCCACCGCAGCCGCGTCTGTCGCGCCAGACTAGTTGGCCGCTCTGCGCGCGAGCTTGCGCGCGCCAGCGCTGCCGCAACGACTTGCCAGCCAGCGCCAAGCAGTCATCACAATCGCCGCCGCATGGGTTCTGCAAACAACTTGCGGGTGTGTGGTGGGATGATTGCACCAGCAGTGGAGTTGACAAGTTCAACTTCGGCAGGGTGACTTGCACCACCCTCTCATTCAGAGTGAAGTAGCCTCTATTCCTTTGGGGCGACGTTGGCAACATCTATTTCTTTGGGGCGACGTTGGCAAATACCTGCTTCATGCCCGAGGCAGCTGTTCTGTGAGCGTGCAAGGTTTCGAACGCCCTGCGAGGGAGTCCGGGCCCCCGAGAACGGTGGCTGGAGCATGGTGTTTCCCCATCGCCCAGGCCCCCGAAATCGGCGGCCGCCCATCGTGGAACCCAATGCTGGCTCCCCATCGTGGTCCACCCCATCCTGGCCCCCCATCGTGTTTCCCCATCGAAGCCCCCCACCGTGGCCCTTTTTCGGTATAAGGGCAAAGGGATGTTTAGGGTTTTCTGCAACACTGTGTGTTCCTTGCGTTGTGGGTTGCTTCAGTGTCTTGATGGGGTTGCATTTAATAGCGCTGCGTTGCCATGTTTTGCGTTGCCCCGTTTCGGCACGCATCGATTTGTTGTCTCAACGTGTTGTGGCGTTGCGTTGCTTAACGTCGCTTTGTACTCCAGTGCATCATGCTCCTTTTGCCTGCGCTGAATTGCTGAATTCTGCATTGCACCGCGCTGAGCATTGCATGGTGTTGCTTCGCATTCGCCGTGTTTTGCATTGTGTTTGTTTGAAGAGTTTGGAGCGGGGCGGGGCGCGGGGCATCCTGAAGGAAGTTCGCCCCCCGAACAAGTTGCCACCGGCCCTCTCCCACAAAAAAATGGGACCGATTCGGCAGACATTCTTTGGATAATTCGAGCAAGGGGACCGATAGGACATTCACTGTCAATTTCTGTCAATGGGCGCGTGGCTGAAGTGGGGTTCTGCAGTTCCACAGTGCGGATTGTTGTTGTTACTGTTGTTTGTTGTCATCGTCTTCGCCTGCGACCCGCTCGCGACCCGCCCGCGACCCGCCTGCGATACACCCCGCGACCCACCCGCGACCCACCCGCGACCCGCCCCCGACCCGCCCGCGACCCTCCCACGATTCACTCGCGACCTTCCCGGCGCCCGCCCCCTCACTGTTATCCGCAACTGCGGAGTGTGACACATTGTAAATGCGCGAGGCCACTCATGTCAGCAAGGTCGGATCCAGCGGCATCCTGCCCACCCCGCCGCCGCGCTTGGGTCGTGGACGAGAGGCATCTCGGCATCCCCGTGGGGTGGTCTCTCTGGGGAGGCCTCCCGGTGCGGCACCGCTCGGATGTGTGCATTGCTCCTCGGCGAGGACCATCGTGGAGCATTTTTGCTCACCTTACAAACAAATTTCGCACGAAGCCGAAAAATGCGGACTGGACGTCCGAGCGATGGCGAGTTGTGGGCGTTTAAGGGGCCTCGCTGGGCGAGGGTCTCTTGGTGGCCTCGCGCGGGCTTCTTGAGGGCCTCCAGGGCGCCTCCTGCGGGCCTGGTGGCTGTCTTACATACAGTTATTCATAGCTGAGAACGGGCAACAGAAGGCATGGCGTGTCTGATATACCCATCCTGGGCGAAGATACCGATACGTTCACATCACCGTCATATCCCACTTTTGCCGGAAACCGTATCCTTGTTGCAAAGGACTCATCCGCGGGAGTGCTTCAAATTTCATGTCGATTTCCCCATTTGGGCCCGTCGTGGGGCCGTCTTGGAGGCCTCCTGAGCCCCTCGTGGCGACCGACAGACATGCCGATTTGGGACGATGCAGTAATTGTGGACACACAGCTCTTTGGGCCAAACAGCAGACAATTCTAAAGCATTTCGAAAACAGACTGGTATTCAGTAGTGATTGCTTCTGGGCCAGCCCCGAGTGCCTCCAAGGCGGCCCAGGAAGCCCCGAAGAGAGCCCCAGGACACAGGACGGTTCCTCAGGGACATCTTGGGACGCGTGGGAAGTGCTGACTCCCAACCACGTTCCCGAGGCCTCAGGAAAAGTCACGCGGGGAAATTTTGGAGCGCCCAGGATCGCCCAGACATTTTGTGAGTTGGGGGCATCTGGCCCGCAAAAGTTTTGCTACAGCATTGGATGTGGAGGAGCATCCCTCACCCGGCGTTCGAAGAGTAAAGTTGAACTTTTTGCAGACTAGCTCCTCAGGGAAATGTGCAAGTGCACGTGCGTTCGCCAGCTCTGGAGGACTGCCGCACAACTGTCGACGGTGACGCATGCTACGAGGAGGTGATGTACGCGATGCACGGCGTCATCGAGCATCCACAGTGGTTCTCGCCTTTGACCACGAGCTCGAGCCTCGAAGATATCCAGCGGCACCTGCACGGCACGGCTAGGCTATCCGAGGTGTGCCTCGAGCCTTGTGCAGCGCAGGCGCAAGCACGGGTGCTTGCACCGGAGGATTGCCACACATCCGTCCAGGGCGATTCGTGTTACGAGGAGGTGCTCTACGCGATGCAGGGCGTCATCGAGCATCCAGAGTGGTTCTCCCCCTTGACCAGGAGTTCCAGTATGGAGGACATCCAGCGGCACCTGCACAGCGTGGCTTGGCTGTCCAATGTGTGTCCCGAGCCTTGCGCAGCGCAGGCAAGCGTGGTCCCCGTGCCAGCACGCTTGTCTACACTGGAGCACTGTCATACTTCCGTCGAGGGCGAGGACTGTTATGAGGAGGTGATGTATGCGATCCAGACGGGTGTAGTGAAGCGCCCAGACCGATATGGGAATTTGACTCAAAAATCTAGTTTTGAGGATTTTCAGCGGCGATTGCACAGCGTCGATGCCCAGGTGTGCCCAGAGCCCTGTGCAGCGCAGGCACAGGAGGCCGCGGTGCCAGCGCCGGTACTGTCGGCAGCTCCGGAGGACTGCCGCACGACTGTCGACGGCGACGCGTGCTACGAGGAGGTGATGTACGCGATGCACGGCGTCATCGAGCATCCACAGTGGTTCTTGCCCTTGACCACGAGCTCGAGCCTCGAGGATATCCAGCGGCACCTGCACGGCACGGCTAGGCTATCCGAGGTGTGCCTCGAGCCTTGTGCAGCGCAGGCGCAAGCACGGGTGCTTGCACCGGAGGATTGCCACACATCCGTCCAGGGCGATTCGTGTTACGAGGAGGTGCTCTACGCGATGCAGGGCGTCATCGAGCATCCAGAGTGGTTCTCCCCCTTGACCAGGAGTTCCAGTCTGGAGGACATCCAGCGGCACCTGCACAGCGTAGCTTGGCTGTCCAATGTGTGTCCCGAGCCTTGCGCGGCGCAGACACACGTGGTTCCCGTGCCAGCTCGCTTGCTGGCGCCTCAGGGCCTCGACGAGCCCTCGCTGCCAGAGTTGCCACCTCTGCCGATGGCGGAGGCGGTGCCACTGCCGACCGCGACGGTCACGCCCCTGCCGAACACGAAGGCAGCGCCGCTGAGGTTGCAGAAGTCGGCGCCTCAGGGCCTCGACGCGGCCCCGCTGTCAGAGCTGGCGCCTCTGCCGCCGACGGCGGAGGCGGCGCCTTTGCCGGCCGCGGAGGCGGCACCCCTGCCGACGACGGCGCCTTCGCCCACAGCGAAGGCGGCGTCTCGGGACTCAGACGACTACACCCTGCAGGAGCTGCCAGAGCTGCCGCCGCTGCCCACGGCGGCGGCGCCTTTGCCGACCGCGACGGCGGCGCCCCTGCCAACTGCGAAGGCAGCGCCCTTGCCCGCAGCCAAGGCTGCATCCCAAGACCCAGAAGACTACACGCTCCAGGAGCTGCCAGAGCTGCCGCCTCTGCCCACGGCGGAGGCGGCGCTGTTGCCGACCACGCAGGTGGCGCCACTGCCGACTGCGAAAGCAGCACTCTTGCCCGCAGCGAAGGGTGCGCCTCGGACCCCAGACGGCTACATGCTGCCGGGGCTGCCGCCCCTGCCGGCGGCGGCGGCGGCATTGCCGACCACGACGGCCGCACCCCTGCCGACGGAGGCGGCGCCTCTACCTGCCGCGGAGGCGGCGCCCTCGCCCACAGCGAAGGCGGCGCCCCTGCCAATCGCCGAGGCCGGCCAGGCCGAGAAGCAGACCGCCGAGCAGGGCAAGGCCACGCAGGCCAGCATGTCGTTGCAGGATCTCGTGGCAGAGCTGGAGGCCAAGCAGCGCCAGCTCAGAGCGCTGGATGAGAGGCAGAAGGGTTTGGCCGAGCTGGGGGCCAAGCAGCCCGAGCTGAAGGAGGTCACCGAGGCCCAGCAGTTCAACGAGCAGGCGGCGGCGTCTGAAGGTTTGGACTTCTCCTCGCTGCCAGGGCTGCCGCCTCTGTTCGCACTGCCAGAGCCGGGAGCGGCCCCAGAGCCGACGCTGACACGTGTGTACAACGCACCCGCTGCGCCAGCGGCGGCATCGCCAGCGCTAGAGGACTGCCGAACTCCTATCGAGGGCGACGATTGCTACGAGGAGGTGCTGTATGCGAAGCAGACGGGTGTGGTGAATCACCCGCACTGGTATGGGAATTTGACCCCAGATTCGAGCTTTGATGACTTCCAGTGGCTTCTGCACAGCGTCTCCAGGGTGTGCCCTCGGCCCTGTGCAGCGCAAGTGCAGCAGCTACCAACGCAGGCACGACTGCCGGCCGCGCCCTCACCTCTAGCGGCGTCCACAAAGAGAGCGCCAGCAGCGCGGGCGGCGCCAGCAACGTCGACACGGCCGCACGCCGCACCCAGGGAAACAAACACGCACGTAAACATAACGATGCGGAGGTCCGCGCAGATTTCTCAGATCAGCGAACGCGCCCCCTGGCGTCACCTCCGGCGCCGCCCCTGGCGCGCCCTGGCGCGCTCCGCGCGCCAGGGGGAGGGGTCCAGCGCTGGTCCGAGAAATCCGTGCGGACCTCCAAGTTTTTATGTTTGTGTCATCTGAATGTTCCCCTAGCACCACCCTCTGCGCTAGCGGTGCCCCGAGCCCCGGGCGCGCCAGTGGCACGGGCAACGTCAGCAGCGCCAGCGTCGGCATCAGAGGATTGCCACACGTCCAGTTACGGCGAGGAGTGCTACGAGGAGGTGCTGTACGCGATGCGTACGGGTGTGGTGAAGCACCCGGTCGGATATTATGATAACCTGACCCGGAACTCGAGCTTCGAGGACTTTCAGCGGCACCTGCATGGCGTCTCCAAGGTATGCCCCGAGCCTTGCGCAGCGCAGGCGAAAGAGCTCCCGCCAGCGTCAGGACTGCACAGATTGTGGCTACGTGCCACGAGAGTCTGGCGCTCGTAGCTCTGTTCGGAGGAGGGCCAGTCGAGACAACTGCGGCTCTCCCGCCCAGCCCACACCATCCCGACCCGTTGTCGACGCAGATCCAGCCGTGGCGACGAGATGCCTCCAGGAGTCGAAGGCAGGGCGAAAAAAGCACAAGCCAGGGCCGCCGTTGTCTCGGCTGGCCCTCCTCGGGATTGGTGGTCCCCGCTGGGGCTGCAGGATGCAGCAGTGTGCCAGAAAAGGCTTTGCGACCTTTCCGCGATCTGCTGGCGGGAGCGGTATCGCCGGGCGTTGCAGCATCTCCGACCAGTGGAGACTCGCACAGCCACAAAGGAGGCTTGCACAGGCCATCGCCAGCAATATTGCATACTCTTGGCCAGTGCCGTACATGTTCGTTGCGGCCGAGGGTCCTAACGTTTTTTGTTTGTGTGTCAGCCGGTTTTTGTGTATGCCGCGTTCTGAGATGTCAGATGTTGTGATGAACTGTGCGCCACACGCGAAGGTCTCATTCTACTTTTGCCAACATGTGGGGAGAGAAGCGGCCAAAGCACTCAAACAACCTCACTAGCAAGCGATCCACGGAGTCGAATCGCTCTCGCCAGAATGCAATAAGGGGGTGATGCGAATTTCTCGTATGATGTATCGAATGTGTCGTGAACCCACGCCGAACTGACCCTTGGAGCGCGTGAAAATGAGGCCACAGTCGGGTCCACTGACAGCGGAAACGGGAACCAGCACTACGAATCCCAAGTCAACGATCTCTTCGCGTGAGAGGTCCGCACAAGAAAGCCCCAGCAGTGGGCAGCAGCACGCGGGAGGGCTGGGAACGGTTGACAACGTGTAGGTTGAAAGAACCGCATGATTGTTCCACAGATGAGCGCTGCACCCCGCACCTGCGGATCAGAGTGAGGGGGGCCAGGAGGGAGAGGAATAGCAGTCAAGCAGTGTCGAAGCGTCTAGGCTTGCCTATAGGCCCACCAAAGAATGTTCTAAGAACCTTGTATGGTCTGCACGCAATATTCTTAGAACATTTCTGGCTGAGACGGTCTTGTTTTGACACGTCGGGCTTGTGGTCTAAGAAAAAGCGCCCTTGGTTTTAAAGCAGTTGCGGGTTCTGAGATCCTGCCGTGGTAAGCCTATAGGAATGCCGTGACGGTCGGTCCCTGCTCAAAAGCAGGGGAAACGGAGCTGCGCACAGGCGTTTCTTCAGGCAGTTCGTCAAGGGCATAAAAGACGCCCCTACCCTGGTTTGCGAGGCGCTGTGCGCTGAAACTCCTGTGGGCTGACAGGGCAAAACCTGCGTGATGTGCCGCGTCCTGGCGGCTCTAGGCTTTGGGGGTTCCCAGGAGGTTTACAGGCCACGCACTTGTAACCCAGGGTAGGGTCGTTTTTTCGTCCCTCAAGTTCGCCTCGCGCGCACCCTCCCGGCACGCCCTCCCGGCACGCCCTCCCAGCACGTCCTCTTGGCACGCCCTGCCAGCACGTCCTCCTGGCACGCCCTCCTGGCCTCGCCCTCCCGGCGCGCCCTCCCGGCGCGCCCTCGCGGCGGGCCCTCCTGGCGAGGCCCCCTCCCAGTCGTCGCCCAATCTCCAGCCACGCGTGCGCAGGGATGAAGTAAGACTGTACGCCCCCCCTCACGCTGATATCATATAATGCATACATATATAGACATAACCACATGTGTACACTTGTATATATGTATGTATATATTGTTATACATGCTCATATACAAATTCATATATATATATATATATATATATATATCCATACATGAACTCAAGAGGCTTACGCCATTCCGCCGACCCTCAGAAGAGGAGGTGTGCAGCATATGTGTCGTTTGCTTGTGCTGGTTGCCGCTTCCCGTCGTGCTGCCTGCTTGTAGGTTGCTGCTGGGTCGCTTTCCTCTTCCTCCACCCCTGGTGCAGGGCTTCCTCTTGGGCCTCTCAGAGGCCTCGGGGGCGGCCCCCTCGGAGCCCTTCGGCAAAATCCTGGGGAGCTCGGGACCCTCGGTGGGCTTCTCGGGGGATTCTCGGGGACCGCATGTTGGGCGTCTTCGGGGCGGGCTCCCGGGGGCACTACGACAAGAGAACAACAAATAGCATAAGCATAAATTGTTGGCGCTCCGCGCGGATTTCTTGGATCTGGATCTGAGCTGGGCCTCTCCCTGGCGCGCGAAGCGCGCCAGGAGCAGCGCCGGAGGCGCCGCCAGGATTCAAGAAATCCACGCGAAGCACCACAAGTTTATGCTTATGCCGTTTTTATTTCTTCTACACGAGTTCCCTCTTTTTGGCTTCTTGGGGCCTCTTGAGGGCCTATCTTGCTGTCTTGGGGTCTCGGGGCCCTGGTGCCATCTCTGGGCCCTCTCGGGCCACTTCGGCCCTCTCGGGCTGGTCTGGAAGGCTTCTCGGGCCGCCACGTGCTTTCCGCACCTCGAAGTGGCGAGAAGGCGAAAATAAACAAAGAACCGTTGGAACATCATTATGTATGCCTGTTGGTGATCGTTTCTTATTCATTGTTTTGCCGATCGGCGCAGGCCCTCACAACCCCCCGCCCCCCCTATGGAGTAGATCTTGGCTGTTTTAGGCGCCTGTTTCAAGCAGGTGATGTCTCCCCCATCATGCACGCCCTGTTGCAAACAGTCGCATTAAGCAGAGGTCCAAAGCCAGCCCCCCCCCCCTCCCCCACCCGCCTCCGCCAAATATCGAAACGCCGAGTAAGGAAACGTTCACTATGCCTCTTGGGACCGTCTTGTGGGTCGTGCTAAGGCCCTTTTCGGGGCTTCTTCTGTGCCAATGGACTTGTTCTCAGTATGTTCTGGAGGCCTCATCGGCGCGTTGGAGCTCTTTCTGAGCCATCTTTAGAGGGAATCTTGGGCTTCTTGGACGCCGCGGAGGGTGGATTTGGAGACTCCCAGGGCAATGTAGGTGCCCTGGTGAACCCCTGCATCGGGATTTGGGAGCCCTGGGGATGGGGAGAGGGGGAAGGGGACAGCCAAAATGTCTCACACGTCTCCTCACCCCTGGTAAGCAGGTGTCGGCGGATCCGACCGGCTTGCTCATTCTGCCGGCCCATGTTGCATCACTGTTGGCAGTTGCCTGCATGCCCATGGGGGCTGAAAAGGTACTGGGTTCGAAAAAGAGAAAACTGCATAAACAGAAACTTTCGAAGGTCCTCGCGGGTTTCTTGACTCGGCGTTGGATCCCTTGGCGCGCTTCGCGCGCCAAGGAGTGGGGTCCAGCGCTCATCCGAGAAATCTGCGCGGAGGTCAGGAAAAGGCGTGTGTTGCGTTGCTTTATTTGTTGTCTCTATGTGAGAGGGTACCAGGTGGCGGTGGTTCTACTGAGCCGTCGCGTGAGCCTCGGGCGGAGGAGGAATACGCTGTGGCAGGGTGCATACACCGCCACACTCCACGGCGCACGCTCCCACCGACATTCCGGCACGGAGGCCCTTCAGTTTGATAAGGTTCTGGGGCGAGTTTCGGGGTCATCGAGCAGGGTCAAGTTCGATCTGATCGGTCCGATTCGATATCGATTGTGACTTGCCCGTTCCGTCCATTTCGATATTCCGACGATCCGATGCGGCCCTATGTTTGCATGGCGTCTTTTGCGTCTTGGCGCTGCCGATCCAATTCGATTTCAACTCCGTGCAGATACAGCCCGATCCGACGCGCATTCCGACTCGATCAGGTTTCCCGGTTCGATGTCGACTGATCTTGTGTGGGGACCTGTCTCCAGTTGATCGTTATTATTGGATTGATCTTGGGCTATTTCGGAGCCTTCGCGGGACCATCTTGGATCTCGTCGGAGCCTGGGCCCTCCTAGTGCCCTTCCGGGCCCACCTAGGAGCCGTTGTGGGTGATCGTGGAGACACCTAGAGGTCCCATAATCCCATCGGAAGCAAGAAGGCGAGAACGCCACAATCTTGGGAACGCCTCGAATGTGCTTGAATGGCTTTTATATATATATATATAGATATGTATAAGTAGGTGTGTATGTTGAGAGAACAAGGTTGCACATGCGTGTGCTCAAACTTGTACATGTACGCACGTACATTGAGATATCCCAACCAACCAATGATATACAGACTTGTAATGGCTACACCTCTGATCGTTCATTCGATCATGATGGTCGATTGGCCAGGTAACGCCCATAATCGTTAGGAGGTGAGCATAAAACGCCAACAGATCACAAGAGTTGTCTAGGATGGCCTGGCAAGAGAACACGGGGGCGGCAATGTTTGAGTATTGATGCTTCGCTTGTCCTCACCAGTACACCTAGACACGATTCCCTGGCCAGTAGTCTTGAGACGGGAAGCGGAGGAGCATCAGTGAAACTAAGAGGATGGATGAGCGGCCCGAACAAGGTCGAACAGGTGACAATTTGAGAACCCTTGGGAGCCTCACGGATGCCGATTCCTTATTAGGGTGGTGTAGGACTTCTGTTGAAGGCTTTTTGGAAGCCTTCGGGGACCACTCCATTCTCTGGGAGCCCTCTTGGGAGCCTCTTGGGCCACTTTGGGGCATTGTTGGAGGCTACCGACCACAAAGGGGGTCCTGAATTACCTTCCCCCTTAGGAGAGGGAAATAAAGGACACATGACACATCTCTTGAGGTTCTCTTGGGATGTTGCTGTGGGCGTTCGAGATCCTCGTGATGATTTTCTGGTTCCCTCTGGACAACACTATAGTCATCTCATCTTGAGGCCTCAGCCCCATCGAAAGCCAAAAAGACGAGATGGCAAGCAGCACTCTCTCTCTCTCTCTCCCTCTCTCTCTCTCTTTCTTTTTTGTCGTTCCTCTTCTCTCATCCCTTCTCTCTCTCTCTTTCTCTCCCTCTCTCCCTCTTCATCCCTCCCCTCGTTCGTCTTCCCGTTCTTGCTCCTGGTTTCATCGGCCCCCGCACACGCCTCCTCCTCCCCAGGCGCTCCGGGGGAGAAGTGCAGAGCACCGATGGAGGGCGCGCCTTTCGGGCATGCTCTTCCTCCGGGGGTTGGCCAGAAGTTGTGCCCGTCGACCGCGCGAATGGCGGAGCCAGTCTGGGGGGACCTCGCGCAGCAGAGGGGCACAGTCGTGCCTCCATCGGCTGGGGCCCTCCCCATCGTCCTGCTCGGAGCCGTTTGGGGGGGGAGCGTCGTGGACAGGGGGAGGGGGAAGCGATGCGCGAAGGGCTGCTTTGACAGAGGGAGGGCTAAGCACGCGCGGCCCAGGTGGGACCTGGAGGGCGCCAACGGCTTCCATGGGTACATCGACGGCGTGACGTGCCTCGACTGTGTCATAGACGTCACGCCCCAGGCAGCTCTTCCAGCAGCACTGATCGACCCTCGAAGCTTCGCAGCGCCTGGCGCTTCTTTCACGCGTTTCCAAGTTTTCCGTTCCATGCACCCTCCTTTTCCTGTTGATAATTTTGGTCTTTGCCCTCCTGTTCCTCCTGCAACATCCACCTCCCTCTCCACCTCATCGCCCTCTATCCTCGATCCCCCCTATCCCCATCCTCCCTTATTATTTCTGCCCCTGCCCTGACGAGACTCAGGCGCGAACGCACTATGGACTGCAAACTATGTGAGCATTACTCTATGGAATGGTTCTACACGATTGACTCCACACACTAGTATAAACAATTGGTTTGAATCAAGTTGGTAATTGTTCTTGCAGTGGCGAGAGGTTAACATCGGATGGGCCTCTACACATTTCGCCTTATGATGGTAGTGCATGGTGGTGAATCTCGGCCTTGGTGCGGGATATTGCCAGGGGGCATCACCGAGTGCGTTAGATATTCTCCCACTTACGCGCTGCACCTTGCACGCCGAGGAGTTGAACGCACGCGTGCCGATCGATGTGTCTTCGCTCGTGCTGGCCTGGGAGAGCCTAGGCGCAGATGCTGTGCAAAACCGGGGCCCAACCGCAACGGCCATTCTCCAAATTGCTCTTGGAGCATTGGGGCAGTGTTTCCGCCGTTCTGGCCGCCGAGGAGGGGGATCGCACTACACTGATCCTCCTCCTCCTTCTCCTCCCCTCCTCCTCCGCCTCCTCCTCCTCCTCCTCCTCCTCCTCTCCCATTGCCTCCTTGTCTCCCTCCTCCACCTCCCTCTCCCTCCCTTCCCCCACCCCCCTTCCTTGGGGCTTCCAAGTGCCATCGATTTTGGGGGTTTCAATTGCGGATTTGGGGTTTTGCGCTCCTTGGGGATTCCAGCCGCCCACCAGATACAAGGCATCTGAATTGAAACGAGGTCTCGTTCGCCTCGCCTACGGTCGGACGGGGCTAGGACGAGGATGCAACCGTTCCAGAGCGTTCCGCAACGCTCACAGAGCGTTCCAGAACGCTCTGAGAAGGCCGTGGCCCCCAAGACATCCTCCAGAGCCGCCCCGATCTCGGAGATTACCCATTGACCCTCGCCCGACTTTGTCTTCTTCCTGGCTTCGTCTTACTGGACCGTGCTCCCATCCGCCTCTCCCAAGGACAGGTTGCTCCCTCCACCCCTCGTCCAGCGGCAGGCCACGCACAGCAACGAGCTCACCCTGCCGAGCGTCGTGCTCCGCGCGGGGCGGCAGTACGGCTTCGAGGCAGGCGCGCGCCTTGCGCCGTCGGGGTTCGGCGCCCTCGGCGGCCTCTGGCGGCGGCCGCGCCGGCGGCCACGATGACGACGATCGCGCTGGGTTTCTGTTCTTCGGCTTCGGCCTTTGGGGGCCTATTTCCGGTGGGGAGTGAGAAGGGAAACGCCTTCTGAGATGACGGCGGGGCTTCTCAGAAGCCCTCCGGCCTTCTGATAGGTTTTCTGCGTCTGCGAGGGAGGCCCGTTCGAGCCTTCTGAGAAGGCCCGCCCCTTCTCACTGCCCCCCCTCGCTCGCCGCGATTAGGTTCCCCGGCTTCGGCCTCTGGGGGTTGGCTTGGGACCTCAGGACCCAGGGCCGACAACCATCGGTCCAGGACCAGGAAATTGGCCAGGGTCCTCCTCCTCCTCCTCCTCCTCCTCCTCCTCCTCCTCCCCGTCCTCCCTTTCCTCCTCCTCCTCCTCCTCCTCCTCCTCCTCCTCCTCCTCCTCCTCCTCCTCCTCCTCCTCCTCCTCCCCCTCCCCCTCCCCCTCCCCCTCCTCTTCCTCCTCCTCCTCCTGGACCCCGAGAGGGGCCCGAGGACCAGTTCTGAAGTGATCCTTGCTAGGATCTGGGGGAGGAGGGCGGCGACCTCCAGGCGCGACGAGACCGTAACGACGATGTGTTCTCGATTTCGGCGACGGGAGACCGTTTCTTGGTGGTCGCAACCTGCGCCCAGCCAGCCACGGGAACCTTGAACAGTGAGCCGAGGCCATCCGGGATGTCCCATAATGGCGCGTAGAGCGCGCCGTGGCTTCAGGTCTGCACCCAACCGGCTGTGGGATCTCACCATGTCCATGAAGAGCTCGGACTCTGTGCCAACACTCACGATCAGCACCCAACCCAGTCACGGGAACCGTGAAGAGGATGCCGAGTCCGCTGTCAAGGGACCACTCGCAGAGCATGCCGTAGCTCACAAGTTGCCTCCATCCACTCACGATAGCCATGGAGAAGAAGCCGAGGCCAAGCCATCGTGAAGAGGGTGACAAGGCCGTTGTCCAGGGGCAGCTCGCAGAGCCTACAGAGTCTCATGAACTGCCTCCACTCACTCCCGGGAGGCACGATTCGGCGAAAAACAGATCTGTATCCACGGCCTCGCGGGCCGGGCCCCTGGGCCGCGACCCCGCGGATACAAGGCGTGCTTTCGCCGCGGATGCTCCGCGCGGAACGTATCCGTGCGACCGCGTATCCGTGGGATCGCGCCCTGGAATTCAGACCGCGAGGGCGTCGATATGGATACGGTCGCCGCTCCTCGTTGTTTTTTCTTCGCCTTCACCTCCCGGGAGAGACATCGAAAGTTAAAGCACCGCCACACACATTCTGGGAGGCGCCCACCAGAGGAGGAGGAGACCGACAAGGAGGAGCAGGAGGAAGAGGAGGAGGAGGACCAGTGTAAACCCAAGAGTCATCAACGATGTTGGAATAACCTGTCCTCCAAGCTCCCTCTTCACAGGCCCCTACAACGGCTCATGTCCATTCAAGGAGCTGCCTCTTTGGAAGACAACCGTTTGAAGACCCTGAAGCATGCCAGAACATTATTCTCGAGATTCCAACGCCACAGATCAACCTGACTGTTGTGTCTTGACAATCCTGAATCGTGCCAGAACGCCGTTCTTGGGACTTCAACACAGCGAGCCAACATAATTGTTGCACCCGCATAATCCAGAATCATTTCCTATGTGTTTCTGGTACGTTGGTGGTGGGAATCCGTGAAACTGTTGTAAACTGTTAGTTCGAACGAGTGTACGCCGCGCTAGAGCGAGAAGAACCGAAAAAGGAACCGCCCTCAATCCGTTCAAACCTTGCCAGATTTTAAAGCGAATGTGCGCCCCTCTAACGCTAGAGCCAAAGTTTGACAACCACCCGCCCTCAATCCGTGAAGTTCTTGCACATATTTAAGACACATGTGCGCCGCGTTAATGCGAGAGCCACATTTTGAAAAGGAACCGCCATCAACCAGTGAAGCTTTTGCAATTCTTTACAACGACCGTGCGCGGCGCTAAGGCGAGAGCCACATTTTGAAAAGGAACCGCCCTCAATCAGTGAAGCTTCTGCAATTCCTTACGACGAATGCGCGTGGCGTTAGGGCGAGAGCCACATTTTGAAAACGACACGCCCTGAATCCGTTAGACGTTTGCAGATGTTCGAGCGAGTGTGCGCGGCGCTAAGGCGAGAGCCACATTTTGAAAACGACCCGAGCCCAATGCGTGGAACCCTTGCAAATGTTTACAACGAATGTGCGCCGCGCTGAGGCGAGAACCACATTTTGAAAACGAATCGCATTCAATCCGTTTACCGTTTGCAGATGTCTGAAGCGAATGTGCGCCAAGGCGGAAACCACATGTTCTAAAAGACCCGCATTCCATCTGCGAGACTGGTTCCAATGTTTAAACTTCAGGGTCGTAACTTGTGGAAAATCTCAGGCGAAACGCCCGGCCCGCCCGTAAAAACTTTCTTCCGGGGTGCGACACGGGAAAATTATTTATAACGGAAAATATAGAGCGAGGAGGCAGAGGCGGAGGCGGAGGCGGAGGCGGAAGAGGAGGAGGAGGAGAAAAAGGAGGAGGAGGAGGAGGAGGAGGAGGAAGGAGAGGAAATGGACGGAACGGGCGAGGTGGAGGAGGTGGTTTGGAAAAGGAGGAGGAAGAGGCGGAGGAAACAGAGGATATGGACGAAGTGGACGAGGCGGAGGAGGCGGTCTGGGGGTAGACGGGGAGGAGGAGGAGGTGGAGGAAGAGGAGGGAGAGGAGGAGGATGCTCGAATTTGTGAAGACGGAAGAACACTGATCGAAGAGGCGTGCGAGCGTCACCAGCGGAGTCGAGTATAGCAGCAATGTCTTGCGTGCCTTCGTCCCTGTCGAGCTGCACAACTCTGCCAACGCAGCGCGACGTGGTGGGGGTGGTGAGCTTGGGAATGGCCGTCATGTCCGGGCTCGCGTGGAGGACGTGACGTTCCAGGGCACGCACATTGTGTGGATTCAGCTGCACACGGGCAGCCGTGTGCGACCGGAGCTGCGGGTCAACGACAATGTATTGAACCAAATTGACCCCCTTGGCGGTCCACGTTTTCCGGCACATCGTCCCGGGGCTCTCATGAAGGACG